AACCCCCTCCGAAGTCTTAGATCTAAAAATTTCAAAAATTCGTAAAATAATCATCGCTCCTTCGAAAATTCAATCATTTGACTATGTGATAGAGAACGATGAGAGGAACTAATGTCGGAAACCCGACCAATTAGCCGGAAAATGAATGAGAACATTGAGGCTTAAAAGAAAAGAAAAATGGAGAGAAAATAGAGAGCTGCGAGAGGGAGAGATTCTGGCTCAAAAAAAATGGCCATATGACAAATGATATATGTGTATAACATCTGGGGTCCCCTTAATTAAAAAAAAAAGATCTCTTTTATCTATATATATATATATTTGTACATACACTTAACACATCACAACCACTTGTCTAAAAACACAGTCGCATAAATATACATCAAATAATAATGTATGAAGAGTAATGTCTCAAAGAATAATCATCGTGCACACAAATTCGGTTACGAGTCCCGCTTAGGACCTCTCAGCCCGAAAAACTAAAAAATGCCAAAATAGCCAACAATACATTTCTAAGAGTCCTAAACTCGAAGAAATGCCCAAACCAACTCTCGGGACTTACCCAGCACACCTCACGGTGTTCAACACACGAAACGAGGTATAGAAAGAAAGATACCATAAAATCAAAAAAAAATTGAAAATGAAAAATAGGAAAAATCATAAACACTACACAGTTTTTCTTGAACCGGTTCAAAAATCAAATGGTTCTTCGATTTTTACTCTGGCCATTTTGAGATGGTTCAAGGCATTCAGCAGGTTTAGGTAACTTTGTTTCCTGTTCTGATTATCCTTCCTATTTGGTATAAAATTCCTTCCAAAAGTCCTATGCACGAAAATTTCCTTTTCCTATACATATCTAGGTCTTTAAAGAGTCTATATAAACCTTGATTTACATCTAGATTAGTATGGCTTTTGCATCACATCTTCTGATTTTTAAAAAGCTTATTTAAGAGATATTCTGCAGATCGAAAATCAAATTTGATTTTTCTGTTTTTATTTCTAGAACACATACATAAACACAAGAGTGATTTTAGGGTGTTGTTTAATTCCTGATTGTGTTCAAAGTTTATTAAATATTGCATCTACAACGATCAGAGAAAACATATCTACTTCTTCTACATCAAATTTAGATCTTGAAGAACAGAGGTGGAACGATCACACTTTAAAAGGGTCAAAGCATTCGAGGAGTATTATTTGATCTACCACCAATCCTTCTACAGAGATCAAGAGTAAGCCTGAATTCAAGAGCTGTTGGACGGGACGTCGCAAAGCCAGAAGATTGTCAGCGATTGGTGTTTGGTAGAGCGATACGGTGTGAGCCTGAATCAAAGTCCATTATACTTTGTTTCAAACATAGTGGATCGGTTTACTTTGAACTGCTCAATCCACAAGGTTTTCCCACAATAGTTGGTCTATTATTCCAATTGGGGTTTCTTCGCTAAAAATCCTAGTGTCATCTCTCAAACTCTATTTGCTTTAATTTACTTTTATCTTACATGTGATTGATTAATTGCTAAAATTAAGTAAAGCTAATTAAAATAGAAAGACACAGATTGTAATGTCCCAGATTTTTTCTGAATTTTTTTTCAAAATTTTAATTAATTTATTTTTGTGTGCCTCGTCTTGCGCACCACGCGGACCCTAAGGGTCGTTTAAGTTATTTTCTTGAGCTGAAAGTTTTAGAAATGTGTTTTAATTTCTTTTAAGCCAAATCTGAAAGGATGATGCCATTTTTAGAATTTTTGGAAGTCGGGATGATTTCCGGACTCGAGAACTTTACCTAATTTGGTCGTTTCCACTAAAGGGCATTGTAGACATTTCATATGCATATGTATATACATTTGTGTACCTATATATATATATATATATATATATATATATATATTAAAGGAAGATATTTATGGAGATGAATGGAAATGTATGGTTTAAGGGAGGGCAAATTGGTAACTTGGCATAATTTAGAAATCACACAAATGGTGACAAGTGGCAAAGGAGGGACCATCCCTTCAATTTGTTAACTTGCCAAGCCATCCCTCCTCCCTCCCATTTCGGCAATCACTCTCTCTCTATAAGACTTTCTCTCTCTATATATCTATACATCTACACTTAAACTTCATGTTTCAAGCTCTAATTTAGGGGTTTTAGAGTGTGAGTTTAGGGATAAGCAAGAAGGAAGTTTTACTCCACTAGAAGAGGGCTTCCATTTGACATCCATCTTGCAAGGGGTTGAGGATTTAGAATTTTGGCTTGCACTATGGCTTTCTTTCTAATGCTTCAAACTTTGGCTCTTATTGAGAATTATTGCATAGTTATTTCATTAATTTCTAGTTGAAGGCTATATTATGAAGTTATTGTTATGTGAGTGTTGATTTGGTATTCAAGTGTTCAAAGCATGCTTGTATAGATGGCATTGTGTCACTATGTGTTGAAATTAAATGCTAGCATGATTGTATAGTAGTAATTGCTTGAAAAGCATACTTGTGGATAAAGATGTGGATTATATGCTATGCTTGAAACCGTTTTATGAAAGCAAATACCATCCTCATGCCCATTGATTAAAAATGCCATGTTATGTTTACATTGTGGGAAAAATGCCTTGCATGTGCTATTGTTACTAATTCAATGGAATTGAGACTAAAATAATGCATAAGCATGACATGGTAAGAAAGGAAACGGGAATAAAGATTTAAAAATGATTTTGTAAAAAGTGACCGGATTTCGCGAGTCTGATGCTAACTTGACCTAGAGGGAGAGCGTGCCTATTTAGGACGCGTAAAGTTGATTACTAGGCCCCAAATGGCCGTCGGTTTAGAGGCCAGGGATAGTTAATCAATCTCGCCTCTGGAAAGTCGGTTAGCATCTTCGGAGTGAGTTAGGGTTAATAGAGACCAAAGACAGGGGACATGGTGCATTGCATTTCATTTCATGCACAACCTTATTACAATTTATAGTTGCTATTGGTGAAATGTTATTTGTGATGGAAATGTAACTAAAACCCCAATGTATGACCCCGATTCCGTTTTACTTCCATTACGTGTTTTGTGGCTCAAGAGAATCCAAAGTTGATGCCTTAGGCTACTTCTTCTGAGCCACCGTGCTTACCCCTTCCTTTAATATTTTTTTCAAGTCATGGCAATGATGTGATTGATGACGGACCTTCCCAATGATAGATGATGTAGATATCATCCTCTTTTTGTAGATTTTTGTAACTAATGCTAATGACACGATCATTTTGTATAATGGTTTTAATTCAGGCATTTTTGTAAAAAGTATTGTAAATTTGGTCTTAAGGACCTTAGCCACATAGTTGTGACTTATTAGGTTACCCTTTTTATTATTTTGGATATGCATGTGTATGATGGTAATGAGGACAATGTCCGTCTTTGATCATCTATATATGTATTTATTTTGAAATGGAATGATGATAATGATGTGGATATGTTAATGCATGACGTTTAGAGCATTTTATATCCGTATCTGTGAGTTGGTACAAGTATTCTAAGGTCTAATTGATCATACTATATAGTCTAGGATTAAGTAGCAAGATATGGTAGCAAAAATGGAAAATTTAAAAAATTCAATTTTTGGGCCGAAGTACTGTTCACAAGAGAGTTGCCCAAGGGTGCTGAGCGACTGGTCCCCGCCTCCATACTTAGCCAAAATCCCTCTTTTCTTACATTTTCAAAACCCGACTCAACACATCATATCTTTTTCGTTTCAAATCCGATTGGACTCATTCTTGAGTCAAAGTTACTTGATTTTAAACCCCTTTTCACATGGTGTGGGTTTTATCTTATAATTTTAACAATAAATGACAATTTTACCTTTAGTGGCCAAAAGGTCTTGAATGAACCCAAAGTCCGACATAGGTTGTTCATGTGACCCGTGGTGGCTAGATATGACTAATGTAACCTCTTTGCTACTCTTATTGCATAGTCGGGGCAAAATGACTATTTTACCCTTGAGTGTCCTCGGGTTCGGGTAAGGACCCAGTCAGCGATCCAGTTCCCTGAGTTTGTGTCGTTACACAGATTTTAATTTTTTTCTTGAAAACTCAAACTTTCCACATATATTTTTCACTGCATAAACTAACAATTGGTATCAGAGCCAATCTCTACCCATTTAGTTGATCCTAGTGAAAAGTTTTTGATTGTTTTTCAAAAATTTATTTCATCATGTCTTATGCGTTGAAAAAAGGTGGATCTAATCAATGTGATCATTTATTTGGAGGAAACAATTATAATTTTTGGAAATCTAAGATGAGAGCTTATTTGCAAAATTCAAGAGATAAAGTTTGGGTTGTAATTGAAACAGGTTATACACTACATACGGAGGAAAAAATTGTAGATAATAAAATAGTTCTAGTTTTGAAAAATGCTTCCAACTCGGGAGCACAGTGTAATGATGCTAATGAAAAACCGCAAGTACAAAGTCAACGAGATTCTTTTTGGTATTTCAAAAACACAGGTTGAAGTTTAGAATGAGTCAGCCTCTTTTTAGCAGCGCTCGGTAAAACCTCATTTGTTGCCAACTCCGGCATTTCCCAAACCATTGAACATAATTTGTTCCAGAACCACTTTAAGTAACTTGGAATCTTGTTTGTTACGACTCTCTCTCTCTCCAACCATTGCAACCGCACTTACCTGCCTCCACCTTAGGAAAATTTCATATAGTGGACCAATTCTGATCTCTCTCTCTCTCTCCATTGCAACGGCCTACCCGTTTCCACCATAGAGAAGTTCCATGTTGACCAGTTCTAAACTGGGAGTGGAGTTGAACCTAAACAAATCTAAAATGATCCCTAGTGTCGATTTTGACATGAATGAGAAAAACCAAACTATAAGTTTGCACACACTAAGGGCATAGACTAAGATTTGAAAACAGTTAAATAGAGGAAATTAAACAGGAAATCATCACTAACCTTGCATACTATTTTAATATGTAGAAACACTGCGTCAAATAAGAACGCGACACAATTTTATTATAAATTTTCAAACCAATCATTTCAGCTAAAGGTCATGCGAACAACTTTATTATTGACATAATAATAATATACATATTTATATCAACGTCGACCAAAACATATATGAGTCAATATTTAGGTTGGTGGTTGGTAAATTTCCAATTTCACCCACCCATTAACTAAGCACATCCCTATACCTCTTATGAATCAACAAATACCTTGAATTGGACCACAACTAGCTATACTGACGGAAGGATGACATAATTTGTTCATCCCAAAACGGCTTCTACCTCATCCACGTTTGGTGGAAGAACTTCTACCTTATCCAAGTTTAGTGGAAGGTGGCCACCAATCCAAACAGGACCATTCCCAATTCCACTATCTTCTGCCTGCCTGCATCTACTTTCACTCATGATATGTCACATAGGAGAGATTGGTGGTGGGACAATTATCAAGTTTAATAATTGCAAACTCATGCTGTAAAAGTAGCACTAGAAAACCAAGAACACCAACTTTAGCTTTACATAGGAGAGATTGGGATGATCTACTGCTTCTTCAAATCTTATTTCTCTTCCATTGAAGTCAAAAGTTTTCTTTATGAAAGTCAAATTTTGTGGAGGTCTTGTGAGAGAAATCTGAAGCTAGCTTTCTTAGCTCCTTTGTAAGTGCTGGTGCCCCACAGTAAAACACCCCTGCGTTTTCCAAAGGGCCAACTCCATTAAATTTATAATACTATAAAGTGGAAATGACAAAAAGTGGAAAGAAAAAATTTCCAAATGAATACTATAAACCTTAAACAATCTCGTTGAAAGAAATAATATATAATATTAAAAGAGTCTACAGGTATACTGTGTGTAGTCGGGCTTAGGAATTTCCACGTGCTTTCCTTACATTTTCTTAGTCAAAATATTGGGCAACATCTTTTTGCATAGAAATGACAGAAAGTGAAAAGAAAAAATTTACATTAGACAGAATCTCTAAATGTGAAACACTCCATGCATTTTACACATGGGCGTCTTCAAGAAACAAACTCATGCTTCTATTAACATATTAATTCTTGTATGGGAGTGGTTAACATCTTTTTAATGAAATGACAAAAAGGTAAATTTTAGCAAAAACTCTAAATGCTCGTATGTTTGAAACATAAATACTCTATACATACTTGGCTTTCCTCCTACATTTTCTTAGTCGAAGTATGCGACATCCTCTTGTATGGAACTTGAGTTATAAATAAGGGTTAGTCCACTGTTTGACACTCTCGTCTTTGCGAGAATAGGTGTGGGTCAGATATACACACCTTATCCCATATCAATTTAGTCACCTTACCGTTATTTCAAGGCTCACCCTCGACCAAAGTTATAAATAAGAGCCCGAAAACAATCCCAATGAAAGAAATATGAACCAGGAATTTAAAACTATAGAGGGTTTTGATAACTCGTATATAAACTGTATATGCAATTAATAGATTAGGTTTTAGTATTAGTGAGACTTACCAACTCTAGCATCAGTGTGATTGAGAGCAATGCGTTTGTAGACATTGCGCCAATTAGGCTTGGCGAAATGGGACTTGACACGGGTACCAGAGACAACATCGACGCCATTCTTGGCATGGTTGAGTGACTGAAGCATGGCAATGAGAGCCGAGCGAGCGTCACCTTCTTCGTAGACACTAGTGCAATAGTTGTGCATCTCTATCACTCCCTTGTGATCCATTTCAGCAACCTCATTCATCACCCCTTTAAACCAGTCAAATGAGCCTTGTTCCCGTGTAACCCAGTAGAAGTATGCCCTTCTTGTCCTGAAATTACTGCCACCACTACCCGATCCGGCCTTTTGCTTTAGTGTCATGGGACTAGAAGTTGGCGGTGTGTTGCCTCCACCAGCCACTCCATACTCTAAAGCATTATCTTCCTCTTCCATGGCCTTCATGTTGTTCACAATGTCCTTCACAATGCTGATCATCGGTGTTGCCCCGATTCCTAACCCTATTAGCAACACCACTTCGTATTTCTTGTAGTCTTGTGCTGGTGCTCCGTACGGACCATCAATCAACACTCTTGGAAAACTGTCGATCAATCAATCAATAATCATCACCATCATATTTGTTAAACAGACATGCTAGTGATACTCGTGACGATGAGTTGGGTGGAGCCCTTGATATAGTTTTAAAAGCATCAAAGATTAATTTTTCAAAAAAATATGTAATGTCTTTAATCATCAACACCATTCAAAAATCATATATTAACATTCTTGACAATCAATCAATTCATCAATCGGACACTAATTAAGAACTAAAAAAAAATGATTGTTGTGAAATGAGGTGAGAGAAACCGCTCACTTCATCCAACATAATAGATGAGATTGGACAACCACGTAACCGTAATTGTTCCATCATTTCTCGTGCATTAAACATAATTTATCCTACTTCCAAAAGCTTGTTTGATTTCTTTCTTAAAAAGATATATAAAGATGGAGAAATGTCTGTTCAAGAGGATCTCCAATAGTAGATGAAAATGACAACATGCACTTCAATTCTTGCCCATTCGTATTTCGTGCCAGTCCATGAAATTAAGGATGGTGCGCATCAGCACATGTTTGTTACATGTCCCTGTCTATGCTTTATTCATATGTGATGATATTATTTATATAGGCAATTTCTTTGTAATTTATTTTTTTCCTTTTTCTTTTGTTCTAAACATGATTAATTATGAAAATATTGTATGAATGACACACCGAAATCACTTACCCTGGATTGTTCTCTCCTTGCAAACAGTCTGCTCTGAGGAGACCACTTTTCCCACGAGGTGGTGCCTGACACACCTAATAAAAAAACATGTAGAGTTTAGTTATAAATATAGTATAAAATATTTCTCAGATTTTTTATTTTAAATTCTAAATAATTTACCAAACAATTTCCATAATTATGAATTCTTATCTTGCAAACTTATATTAGAATTAAAAAAAACCTCACCTGTGAGAATACAGTTTTGAGTTGTCGAGTCCAATCGCCAAGAGTGCGGATATGAACACTCAGGTAGTCATTTCCCGGGGCTGAAGTAATAGAAAATGGGTGCCTGTTTAATGAGTAAGCCACCAAAAAGAGTAAAGTGTACATTTTAGGATATTATATTGGAGAAATAGTTCAATATATTCACACAATAATATTATATTTGGTAAAAAAATACACACAAATTATTAAAAGTACCAACAACAAATTATTATTATTATTATTATAGGATATGGTAAAGACCACCTACCACTCAAATGGAGAAACAGCAGCACAGTTGACAAACATGTATTGTCCACTTTTGTATTTGAAGCCCTGAGGCTTTGACATGTGAATTGCCAAAACATTTCCGGGATAAACAGCCACCTTCATAGTCAAATGTGAACATAAATTCAGGAATATACATAGGCATAAATATATGTATATATATATATACACACAAATGTACACAGACGACTAAATGGTATACCTTTAGGATCTTGACAGGCTTGATACTAGATCTAAATGCTCTAATGAATCTTTCACCCGCGTATAGCATAGTTGGAACTGCCAAGTACATCCAGGTCTGCCAATGCCAAGGGCGGTGTAGATTAGAAGATTCATTCATCATAAGAACAAATATAAGTATGGATTGAGATGGAAGATGACGAGACACTAACCGTTTTCTTGTACCATTCATGGGTCAAGTAAAGCTTGATGCCATGCACGATGAGAAGAGCGTAAACGATAACGAAGAGGTGGTGTGAATACCAGAAGGCGTTGAAGCCGGTGAGTTTTTTGAGAGGTTTGGGCAGATTGAGCTTGCCTCGCCTCAGCCATGGCGACGCGAGTGCAAAGGCTATTGCCATCAACACTACCATCACAATCCCTGTCACCCCCTCCACTCCCTTTACGAAATGCCAGTAACTTGAAGGCTGGTCCCCGAAATATTGCTTCATCAGCTCATCATATTTCTCATGATCTTCGTCAAGAAGGCGAGGAAAATCACACGCTAAATGATAAATCCCATGTATTCCCACCCCAATTGCAATTGCCACTGCTATTACCTAAAAAATAAAACCACCATTTTCAGCAACAACCCTTCACAACATTATTGAATATAGATACATACATATCAAGAATATAGAGATTAATTAGAATTACTTTGTGGAAATTGAGGTTGTCATCAAATGGAACGGCGACGCCTAGTCTGGTCTTGTTTCTGAGCCAGGTGATGGTGTTTCGGCAGACTGGTAGTAAAATCAGAGCCATGTTCAACTTGAGGGTCTCGGCTGCACCTTTTGCCATACAAACACAATGACCCATGACCTCATATGCAGCTCTATTCCGATACTGCACAAACTTGTATGCAAATAGCCCCAACATAACCCCAATCCAGAGGGCGATAACCCAAGCCCTCTGCCAATTATCCTGCAAGAAATACTTGAAGTCCTGATACCATCTCGTTAACGGATTGTTCTCTTGAGTGGGCTTGAGCTTCTGACTCAGAATTTGGCTTAAGTTCCGGCTTTCGCCTCTTGCAGAATGGTTCGGAGCTTGCAACAATAGCATCTCCAAGTTTTCTATCTGTGACAACATTTTAAGAGATTGACATTCATAAAACCAGATTGATTCCTAGTTAAATTGGTACTATATATATATATATATATATATATATATATATATATATATGACTTATGTTTCTTAATGTTGTGTACCATGATGTATCCATGATTCTCTGGATCTAACTCTTCCATGATCAAGGCCGCATATTCCCCGGCCTGTTTCTGGATATTCGTGAGCTTGTTGGCAGAAGCACTAAGGATGATAATCTGCATATACAGATTATTCTTTCAGTTAGATATAGAGAAGAAGATGTCAATTTGACAAATAAATACACAAGTTATTAATGAAGGCCGGAGACTGCAAGCTACTTATTTTTCTTTTTGATATAGAAACACATCATCTTTGGACTCAGCAGTTCAATATATATATATATTTATATCATACCTCTCTGACTTCGTCTTCAGTGATTCTTCCATCTGCATCTTTATCAACCCTGAAATAATTTGGCAACTAGTTACATTTCATCCTCAATGAAATGATTTGTAAATATACAGTATTCAATGGATTTTCTTGTTTCTTACATGTCGAAAAAGGTTTGAAGCCTAGAGTCGAAGCTCTGATCCGAGATTTGGTCCCAAAAGCCTTTCAGCTGTGCCTTGTTGATCGAATCACCCACTATATTCCGCCTCCGGGCAAGTGCATCGAAGAGCTCACCTGCAAACTCTCTTGACTCCTTATTCATTCCTATGCATTCGCAGAAGACCGAACGGGGAAGCAAGCCATCGGTGGAAGAAGCAGTGAGTTCATTGAACCGCTTCTCCACCGCGGCCCATCCAGCGCCACCATCAGTCTTGCTGATAAACTTGAGCCCCTTCAAGGCATGAGCTGCGGCCGACTTGGTTCTGTCAAAGCGACCCGTGTGGCCTCGTTTGGAAAAGGAAGCGAAGCGCTTGAGCTCTTGAGACACCTGCCTTATTCGCAACGAAGCATTTCTGACAGCCGAGGAGCCGAAAGAAGACCTCTTCTCCAGGCCTTTGGCAAGCATGGACAGCTCAGGATCTTCCACATCGGCTCCGGTGGTGGTCTTGACGCTGTGAACGGCAACAGAGTCGTCACGAACATCGAGAGTGATCTCGACATAGGTGTTCTCATCGGAGGAGCCAATGCTGCCACCAGGTGTACTATTGGTGGTGGTGGGTTGGGAGACGTTGAATCGGGCACTCTTCGGTTCAGCTTTCTTTGTTAGAGGTCCACTTAATGGGCCACTTAGAGCTGTCCTGTCTATTCCAACTATATCTGTGTCAGAGTAGTGGTGGTGGTGATAGCGGTGGTGGCGGTTATGATCATGGTTAATCACTCTCACATCCTCGGTATCCATTTTCTGCATTATATATAAGTAAGATTGAACTTGTGAGGCTTTCGCATGCAAATTGCAACCTTCAAGAAAATGATATAGAAAATTAAAAAAAAAAAAAAAAAAAAATCAAAAAGAAAAATCTCTCTCACACAGTCTAGCCTTCTTAATCTCCAAGAACGACCTCCACTATATAAAACTTTACAAACTCTCTCATGTATATATAAGTTTGCAACACAATACTAGCCTGAGCTGGCATTGATTACGTCATACTCTATGACACATGTATTACCATTGTAGATGTTAAAATGTATTACCAAAAAATCTATGGGCAGTGATGATAGGTGAGAATGTGGTAATTGTTATGCTCGCACTATGATTTAAGATTAAAATTATATAATTAAATTAAACAGTAATTTAATTATTGTTTAGTGATTATTGGAACTACACATGTTACATGTTTCAACCTTTTTTCCAGGTGGTGCTGGGGACCTTGGATTCTTCCTTAGCTAGTGCTTAGAAAAATGTGTTTACATTAGTGCTATCATTTTCTTTTCCTGGTTGTTGGTGTGTTTGGTTAGTTTTTCTGGTGGTGTCGCAGTGCCTTGTTTCTGTTTTTTGCTTGGTCTCTAAGGCACGTCTCTTCATGTACATTATGTATGGTTTTCGTATATTTATATAATCTACTTGTGTATATGAATGTTGGTGGTGTCGGCTTTTTAGAGTACTCTCATAATTCATAATTGGATACATGCAGTCACCATTCCACATGCATCGAATAGTTATTGGAAAAAAATTCTGAGAGTAGCTCCAAGGGAATTCGAATGTCTAACGTGCACGATGCGAGAATCTTCATAGCGTGTGGTATATTAAGAAAGAAAAAAGTTATAATTAAGAATGCATTGTGATGTCGGCCTTTTAGAATATCTCCATAATTCACCAATTTTGGATACATGCAGCCACCGTCCCACATGCCCCGAACAATTACTGAATTTTTTTTTTTTTTGAGACTAGCTCCAAGGGGATTCGAACATCTACCGTGCATGATGCGAGAATTTGCATAAATAAAAAAATGTGTGGCATATTAAGAAAGAAAAAAGTTATAATTAAGAATGCATTATGATGTCGGCCTCTTAGAATATTGTTAACCCTAAGACTAATTTTAATGATCACAAAACATTAATGATGTTTTAAGGACTAATATTTTCATTTAGATCATATGACAGATAAATCATTTGAAGCTCAAATGGAGAAGAAATCAAAAGGTAAAAAGCCAAGCAAGTTCCATTCCATGCACTTCAAGGCGAAAAGAAGACAAGTCATTCAATCATAAGCTTCAAAGATGGAAAAACAAACAAGACCGGTGATTCAAATGGGGTAGATAGGTTTGGGGAGTGCCATAAATTCAAATGTTAAAGTAATGTATAAATGTCATGAAGCTCACATTCTAGGATCATTCATTCATCATATCATGATTTGAATGGCATTATATACTGTCCAAAATCTGTTTGAAAACCTAGCAGAGAAGGAGGATCACATTGAAGGAGTTTCGGCCGACCGAACATAAAGGATCATCCAACCAATAAGGGTTTTACAAAAAAAATTATATGCATCAGCCGACCGAAGAATACTCATCAGCCGACCGACAAGAAGCTTTCATGAAAAGCCGAGAGTAGTGGCTTTTAACCATTGTTTCGACTGATAGATGATTGGGGATCAGCCGGCTGACAAAAGCCTTTTGGTCGACCGATGATACTCCATCAGCCGATCGATACATAGTTAATTTCAAATCAAATGGCTACCTACGAACTTGGATTATTCACACCTCATCTCCAACAGCTATATTGACCTCCAATAGCTATATTAACCTCCTCTCACTATAAATAGGGGCTGCAGTTTGTGTTATGATATACATCTTTTGAGAGCAATATGAAGAGTATTAAGAATTTCATTCTAGAGCATTCAAGGCCATTACTTGGTCATTCATTCTATATCTATTGTTCTCTCAGATCATCTTAGGGATTTGACCTTCATTTCATTCATATACTTACTCTAGTTGTGAGCTTACACTTGTACATCTATCTTGAGAGAGATTCAATCTTGTATTTCAATTACAAACTTTGCTACAAACTTGTAAGGGTTGGTGTAGGTGCAAAACTTCTCTCTATTAAAATAAATAAAAAGAAAAATACAACTCACTCAAAAAACAAACAATTATAATACTCAGAGAAAAGCATATAATGCTCAATGATTTTATTGGAGGTCTAGGCCTCTATTTATAAGAAATAAGGTGGTAGAATTATGGTAAGACTCGCCTGACTTGTCCTCCAATCCATTCCATACATGACATTTTTTACAATTATAATCCTTTCCTTTTTACAGTTCTTTCCATGCAAAACTTTCCTTGCACAGAACTTGCTTTTTTTTTGCTGAATCCTTTGTCTAACAGGACTGGTCTGCCTTTAATTAAGGTTGGGCTGAGTATGCGTTGATCCAAATGATTCGGTAAATGGGCTTGGAGTTCAACCTTAGCGCCCCGGGCTGTTGATGTCTTCACTGGGCCTCAATGAGATTATACGTATCTGGGCTGAGTAAATGGTCCGAATGGCCTCAGTCAACGATCTATATGGAAGAAAGACTTTGCTTGGGCTTGTTCCGAATTGGGCTTGATACCGTTTGGGCCCTTGTTGTATATAATATAAATTTATAGTGTGATGACGTGGACGATTCTTATTGGAGGGGGGATTTTTTCCCTCTACACTTTGCCCCCAATTCCCTCTTTAATTGGACTACGGCTCTTAATTAAAAGGGAATTAAAGTTGCACGGTTTCTAATTCTATAAAAGGCGGTTCAAGGTGTGTCCATTACCATTCTGACTAAAAGGCCTCTTCATAGTTCGTTCCTGACTCTGCGACGTTTACTATGCTTATTACTTCAACGTGATCTCAGGTTAGTTCCTCATTCATTTGTCCAATTTCTTTCACATCATGAGCTACTCATCCACTCATTACCGTATAGACCTTGTAGATTCGGATTCCACACCTTCTTCTTATCCTCCCAATCTCATTAGGATCCCTCCCCCTAGGGTTTCTGACCTTGTTGAATTCACGAACGATTCAGTTGTTCAAATGGATGTCTCCCCTTCACAAGCTGAAGTATCCACTTTCGAGTCAGATTGTGTGTTTATTAAAGAGGAAAGAAAGTGGAATTTGTCTATTCGGCGTATCAAGTTCTCTATTGAGTCTGTAATAGAAGAATTTGAGATTCCTGATGGGGTAAACATTATCGAATACCTAGAGGGGACTGATTTCAGTTCCGGCGAAGGTGTAGGGAACAATGAATTGCTTCTATCAGTTAGATACCTTAACGCTCTTCGGTTCCCTCTTCACCCCTTCTATCATCTGTTCTTTAATAAGTTAGGACTTGGCCCTCTCTAAGTAAACCCTAACTTTTTTCAAGTAGTCTCGGCACTTCTAGTTCGCCGAAGGTTGGGGAGTCTTGACTTGACTCTTGTTAACTTACTCATTACCTATACCATTGCTAGGCATAGGACTAAGCCTAGCCATTTTTACTTCACTTCCCCTTTTCAGCAGAGGATACATACGGACCTCCCTTCCTCCGAGAAGAAGTAGAAAGAGAGGATGATAATTGTGAAGGGTAACTGGTCTGCGGATAAATCAAATACCCTCCCCATTCCTCGCAAATTTGGGAAGTTAGGTATAGAATATCTTCCCTCATTCCATGAAAAATGCTCTGGGTGTTTCCCATGTCAAGTTTTATTATTTCGTCATACTTATGAATTTCTTAGTCTTCTTTCAGCAGCATTCCCCTCCTCCACAGCTAAGAAAAGACTTGTTTTTCTCAAAGCACAAGTTTGGAACAAGCCCCCTTCTATTGAGGAGTTACTCACTTCATCCAACCTTTAAGAAATTATTTCCAGTGCCGCAGCTGCAGACCTTATGGATTTGGCACTTCCATCCTTTGACAGCTTCCCCTTGACTGAGGAAGAAAAATAGAGAGCTGAAGCTCTGAAGAAGAAAGCTGCTAAAGAGCAACCTTTACTAGTCATTAGGTTGACTAAGCATAAGAAAGAGGTAGATGAACCTCCTCTTAAGAAGACAAGGCCGAACCCACCTTGCAGTAGCAAGGGCAAGAACATCCCCAAAAGCAAGGGGAAAAAGGCTGGGGAAACTGACCTAGAGGAGGAAGTCCGGGCTAATGTTCAAGCCGAATCTGGAGAACCTTGGAGACCTATCTTCTCAAGGGCTAACAAGTCAATCCTTCATTTTGGGGATTCAATAGTCTCTGATCCCTCTGCTGCTTTGGCGGTTGCTCGAGGGATGTGGCTACCCAAGGACGAAGAAATCATTGGGAATATAAGGTTAGATCAGCTACTACCATCCACCCTAGTTGATGTTGTGAAGGTTTATTCTTTTCCCTTCACTTGTTTAATTCTTCAGATTTCTTTTCACCGCATATTTACTGATATTATTATAGTTGATTATATAGAGTCTGTACCAGACTATGGCACTATGTGCCACCGCTGAAGCTCAGTCTCTTTCCATTAAGAAATTGGAAAGAGACCTAGGCAATGTTGAGAAGAAGGCTTTACATTTTGCTATGAATACAAAGATTGCATCTGACGCGATGGATGTCTACAAGAATCACCTGGCAGCTTCTAAGGCTAAGGTGGAGACTCTGGAAGATGAGGTCCAGTGCTTGAATGATGCCATTGGTACCTGTATTACTGTTGGGAAACAAATACAAGGATGCTACTCCACTCTTATGCGCTTATCCAATGCAAAGGCTTTTAGATTCGGCTTCAGCCAGGGTTCTGGTGACAAAGCAAAGGATCCAGAAGCCTTTGATGTTGATATGGAAGTGTCCTTCCCTTATGCTGAGGGTCTTAAAGCCCAAGAAGCTGAGGTGCTCTTTGCTGAGATGGTGAAGGCTCATCCAGAGGGCCATCCAGCTCTAAGTTCCTCAAGTCCACCAGCTCCAAGGCCTTTACTCCCCTTAGAAGCTGCTTCCAACCCAAATGTGGTTAATGCTTTCGACTTTGCTCCCTTTGACCCAAAAAGGAAGTAGGGTCGTGTAATAATTGTTTTTTTTTTTTTTTTTACTTTGAACTGATGAATGTTAAGACAATGTATTTTTGATCCCGGGGCTGTAATGATTAAATCTGCAAGTGACTTTTATATCT